GGGAGTATATATATATATATATATATATATATATATATATCATTTGTATATAAATATGCCTCTTATTTATATATAAACAAATGCATAATATCCCAGAATGCTTTACTAGTGCTAGCGTTTCACCGTTTTATTACTACCCAGAAGGATAGCAGTTAGTGTATTCAAACTATGGCTGAAAGGTGTGTTTCAGTTGTGTTCCAACACAACTCTTAATATATTTATACTTACATTTATATGTATGTATGTATGTATGTACAGTATGATACTAGCTTGAACAACCATATAATTAACAAAACAATTACTGAACATGACATGGTGAGCTGCCTGAAATTGAATATTACTGCTATTAAACCTCCTACATGATGAATACAAACAAATCCTTGTCGTTTTATAGTACTGAATTACCCGGTTGTATTGTATATGAATGTATATGAATCAGAATGACAGTCCAAGTGATGCATTCTGGGAAATGAAATGTTCACATTATATCAGTTCTTCCACCCTGGTCTAAAGGTTTATTTAAATATAACGAAATATATAAACTCAATACAAATTTCCATTTAGGTTTCAAATCAGTTGTCAATTGTGAATGGTGCACAACCTGATTTACTATAATAGTAGCTACTGTATATACAGTAATGGTAATTTATGAAAATAGCACAGATATCCAAAACATAACAAAATTTCATAATCAGTTCTAGAAATTAGAAATGTCATGTAAATCATGAAAAATATTACTCAACCCTCTATGTAAAACCACCATGCTTTGCTGTTCATTTGAGTACTGACAGATGTATTTATGGACCACAGTAAAACAGGCTCGGCAGATCAAATCGCTCGGTTGACAAACAAGCTGATTAATTAATCATTTTAATTGTACACATGTAAATGCATGTCCAGGCATAAAGGTAGCTTCACAATAACTTCGATTTAAACATGTTATATGCAAATTAAATGTGTAAGTATGAAAGAAAAAGATTGCTAGAAAAGACTTGTGTGTGTGTGGGTGTGTGTGCGCGCGCGCGCGCGTGTGTGTGCGTGTGTGTGTGTGAGTGTGTGTACTTGCGTTGGCATGCCCTTTATTTTCTTTTATAGAAGTTCTAGTGGCTAGGAATAAAGTGCTGTGAATCGCAGACAAGCCTTTTTCCCTCTCTGATCCACATTTATTATTTATTCACCCCTCATCAATGTTTCAAAAGATCTATTTTGTAGGTTCTACACTAACACTGTCTTCTATATTCCTTCCTCCTCTACCAATTTAGGTGAGCATCATTTTGTGAGGAAAAAAGGTTAGTATCAAACTCTGTGTTTCACTTTGATCATGTAGCCTACACAAATAAGAAATGCATCATTTTAAAAGTGCACTTTGTGATTTTTCCAACATTAAAAAAGTTGTACACATACAGTAAATAAAGTAAAACCAAGGTACACTAACATGAGAAGAATAATCTAGTCATATCTGTAAGGGTAGGACCTTCTGCACATCTTTTATTCATATAATATTCATATAATAGAGCTTTTCCCCTTGGTGACCTTGTGAGCTGTACGTCCTTCTTCATGGTTTTCTAAAGCATTTATTCTACATTTAAAGTGGAGCATGACAGCACTTATAGGGTGTCAAGTGCTGTTTGGCACAAATAATGATATTCAGTCAGAAGTTTTGAAAATTGATACATTACTGCTGAACTAAATAAATATGCATATCTCCCCACAAAACGCTTCTCACATTAGGTCAGTGAGACTTTCAGCTGTTAATTGAGGAAGTATTAAGGGCGATATTTGAAGAGCAATTATTAGTTGCCTGGGAGGGTGAATATTTGGTCTGTTATTTAGGCTGTTCATTTTTTTTTTTTTGTATAATTCTTGCTGGATTTGGAGTATCACATATAAAAAATTTAAGCCTCACAAACTGTACCAGGCTATAAAATTGTGTTCTCACACAGCAGTGTACATGATCAATGATCCTTTATGATCTTAAATAGATTGTTCATCATCATTAACTCACCCTCAAGTTGTTCCATACCCCTGTACAGATTTTTTCTTCTGTCAAACACAAAAGAAGATGTTTTGCAGAATGCTGATACCACGCAAAGTGAATGGTTACTTGCAGCTGTTAAAATCAAAAGTTCATAAAAGGGCATGAAAAAGCAGATAAGCAACAGACTGAAATTCTGATTACTAAGAATTTTCTACTCTGTTACAGCCGTTGACATGCAAGATTTGAATATGTGCATATTCAAATTGCGCAAATGAGATATGAAAGGAAGATATGACTATAGCGCACCACTTTTCTGATACTTTAATGGTGCTTTTTTGTTGTTTTTGGAGTTTGACATCCTGTGGTTAGCATTAACTTTCTTTATATCCACGAATATACTGTCCTACATCTTCTTTTGTGATTTACAATATATATATATAGACATGGCCGCGGCGGCAACAACAATACTACAGCGAGAATAAAAGTTACGCCTTCTTTCTTTGCGTGAACATTTTGGCAGCGTTATGCAAATCTTCCACACATCGTGACATAGACATGTGGGGGCGTGCTAGAATGAGCCGTTTTAGGTAGGCGTGGTTGACTCAACTTTTATAAAGAATATCTCTTTGGATTTGAGACTTTAGTCTTTGCAACTTTACAGATCTTCTTTATGCACCAAGAGCTTGTAACACTCCAAAGGAAAGGAAAAATGGAAATCGCATCATATGACCCCTTTAATTACATTAGTAAGTTAGTATCATGTTTTAAAGTATGTCTCAGTGGCATAAGAAAGAAGAAAAGCAACATTTTTACACTATTAAACAAGGGGACCTGAGGTAGAGTTGCACAAACTTTATGAAGGGCCAAAAGTCAATAAAACAAAAACTTAAATAAAGGCCAAAAATTTCTGAAATTATAATTCTGAAAAAAGTAAATTCTGCATTATATCCAACTACATTAATAAAATGTATTAAATAAAATAAAAATGATAATTAAACTAAAATTTAAAAAAAATATATATTATTTTAAAACAATTTTTCAAATCTTTTTTTACATTTCAATGCAAAAACATTAAAACTAAATAATTAAAAAGAATTAAATGAACAAAAAAATTTTCTATTATTTTCCCCTCCTCTTGTGATATGTCATGGCGGGCCAAATCAAAGGTCACCACGGGCCAACTTTGGCTTGAAGGCCCTGGTTTTTGGTTCCTGGCATCTCTGACTTAGAGACACTGTGCCGCATAAACAACTGCATTTTTATACCATGCATTAAACCTCACATTAGCTACCTAATTTAATCAGTTGTTCTTATGTTCTGTGTCTCTCTCCTCTAGGAGAATTCTTGCCACCGAGGAAAAAAGGTTTGTGTCTTGAAGAGCGCTTGATGAGATTGCATTCATTAGAGAATACATAAACCATCAGCATAACAGATAACAGTTTGCTTGAGTCTGTAATTAACACATTTATATTACAGTTGCATTAGGAGGGCAAGCATTAGAGTATTTTATGGAGAATGGGCATTATGCTGTCATTGATTGTGTTGTTACATTTGGTGCCATTCATAATCTTTTCCCTTTGTTTTCACACACCCTAATTATGCTCCCCATGCTAATCAGTGTTCCATAAAGCTGCATGTATTTGTCCATTAACATCTTCATGAAATGATCATTAAGCCGTCTCTAAATGGTAAAGCTAATGCAGAAAGCATCTAAACACCATTATCAGTTTCAGCTAATGCAAATGTTTGTGAATAAAAATAGCCTCACATATGTATAATAAAAGTCTGTATTTGATTATATGGGCGACACATTTGCTGTCATTTGTCATATTAACACTTAAGGGAACTCATAAATTGGTGTGGCCTGGTTTTGCTTTAAAGGTACAGTCCATAATTGCTGACATAGGGACACCTAAGAGACCAGGAAATTAGCTGTGCACTCCTTAGACGTATAGGCAGTGTCACTGGAGGAGTATGATAAACCGTAATTATTGTTCTAAGAGGATGCTATACGCCCTGCAGTCACACAGTAATTTTAGATGCTGTGAACTGCCCTTTTGCGATGCATTTTATTGTACAATGCTCAAAGAGCCTCTTAAAGATGCAATGATATGGTTTAAGACTGCTGTTTTCCTTCCTGTGTGGAAAGAGGAAATTAGGGCGGGAGATATTTTTTTAAATAACCATGTATTATGTATTTTTGTGGACTAAAACCTGGAAACCAGTTAGTATTTTAACCCTTCTGCATTCAATCATCCTGAAGTCAATGGGATTTCTGAATGGATGTTTGGTTAAATGCCTGAAATAAGGTCTGTGGTTAACACAAGCTCAACAAACTCATTTTAACGTTTTATTCTATGACGTAAAACACATCAGTAATACCCCCATATGATTTTTTTGAAGCTTTTACTTGTCTTGAAAAAGGCAGTTGTTAACCACTGACTGAATGGGACTACAAAGGTTGTCAGGAACATTATGCCGAACAGAAAAAATAAACATCCATTCACTAGTCCACTTTTACAGCTTCATTGTGTTCATAACTATTCCATCTCAAACTTTCAGAGAAATTTATTTTTAAAATAAAGACTAAAAGAGCTGCCAGAAACTTAATGGTGGTGACATTGAAGTCATGCAACCATGGTATAGTTTGTTTATAGCTTACATTTGGCTTTTTACATTTGCCGATTGTATTAAAAATGAGTTGTGTTCATTTTTGAAGATTATCAAAATGTGTAAGAACATAATGTGTAAGAATCATAAACTTTGTTGGTCATAGAGCTTGTTTTCTGCAATAATCAAAAAGCCAATGGCAAGGGAACCAGTGTGATGCTAACTTCTGGGTTGGTGTACAAAAAATACGTAATCAATACGTAATTTCAATGCCAACTTTAACAGACACTGACTACGAGGTCTCATCAAGCTGAGCAATGTATTCCTTTATCCATCAACATTTGCACATTCATTTTTTAAAAGATGTAAATGTGTGCATGTCTTCTGAGTATTCAACTAGTAAAACACATAATATGCATCATATAAATCTGATATGTTATGCATTGGATTGTGTATGTGTAGCCAAATATTATTTTGCTTCTGGCAAATACTGTGGGGCTTTTGGTTTGAACCCCATACATTCTTACAGCTTCACTGATATTTCTGAAAACCTAATGATATAGTTGCAGAGATACGGGCCAAGGAGATGTTAGAAGAGGAAGGGGAGTATGAGGAGGAAGAGGACGAGGAGGAGGAAGATGAGGGGCTTGCTGAAAAAGAGGAGGAGGAGGAGCAAGAAGAAGACGAAGAGTATGAGGACGAAGATGAAGAAGAAGAAGAAGAGGAAGAAGATGGTGATGAGATCGAGGAGGAGGAAGAAGAAGATGAAGAAGAAGAAGAGGAGGAGGAAGAAGAAGAGAAGGAGGCTGAAGAAAAGGAGGACGAGAAGGCAGATGCTGAGGAGGAAGAGGAGGAGGAAGCAGCAGCAGCAGCAGCAGAGGAAGCTGTGGAGGAGGAGAGAAAAGAAGAGGAGGCTGAAGAAAAGGAGGACGAGAAGGCAGATGCTGATAAGGAAGAGGAGGAGGAAGCAGCAGCAGCAGAGGAAGCTGTGGAGGAGGAGGGAAAAGAAGAGGAGGCTGAAGAAAAGGAGGAAGAGAAGGCAGATGCTGAGGAGGAAGAGGAGGAGGAAGCAGCAGCAGCAGCAGCAGAGGAAGCTGTGGAGGAGGAGGGAAAAGAAGAGGAGGCTGAAGAAAAGGAGAAAATGGAAGCTGATGCTGAGGAAGAAGCAGAAAATGAAGAGGAGGAAGCAGCAGCAGCAGAAGAAACTGTGGAAAAAGGTAAGGAGGAAGAGGAAGCTGATGCTGAGGAGGAAGGGGAACAGGAAGAGGAAGCTGCTGCTGCTGCTGCTGCTGCTGCTGCTCCTGCTGTCGGAAAGGAAGATACTTCAATCCCTGCTGAACCTTATGAGGTGAAAGAAGAACAAGAACAAATCACTTCTAAAGAAGCTGATGCAGCTGATGAGGAGGAGGAGGACAAAATTGATGTAGTTAAAGAACCACCTGAGGACGAAGATGGAAAAGAAGATACTCCTGCTGATGATAAAGAGAAAATAGAAGAAGTAGATGACATTACTGATGATGACCAAAAAGATGACCAAAGTGAGGAGAAAGACGATGATGATGAGGTCGAAGAGGCTGATATCGTCATTGCTCTTGGTATCATAGCTGATGCTGGTGCTACAGTCACTGATGTTGAAGCGCAAGAAACTGGTGAGGAACCTATACTTCTTAAAGCTGATGGTGATTCAGAGCTATTAACAACCATAGAGGAGAGTGCTGCTAAAGCTGATGATGCAGTAGCTGATTTAGCTGACTCACAAGATGGCTTAGCCGCAACTGATATCCCATATGATGACCATGATGATAAGATAGCAAAAGATCTAGCTGAGGATCATGGTGAGGTTACAGAAGACAGTCTTAAAGATGAGACTGGTGCTGGACTGAAAGACGCTGACTCTGAAAAACATATAACAAGTGAGGGTGAGGGTATTATTGAGAAGCCTGAGCTAGCTGATGATGTTGCAGATAAGGAGGAGCAGGAGGAAGAGGGAAAAGAGGAGGGAGAGGAACAGATAAGGCGTGAGGATGAGGAAGATGATGATAATATTATAGTAACAACACCTGTAGTTAGTTCCGAACCAGGCGGAGATGAGACAACAGTGGTGGCTGATGAAGATGATGGCTCTTCACGTGAGAAAGGTACCAAGATTATTTGGTTTTTGACTCTAAAAGATACAGTACATTTTTGTTTTGTTTTATTTGTTTGTTTTTGCGACTCTTTTTAATGTGTCCATGTCAAAATAATATAGCCAGTAATTAAAAAAAAAAAACAAAAAAAAGATTTTGCACATGCATTCTTCTGCTGATTCATTAGGGCAACATAAAATATTGTTGCAGAGTTTCCTGGACGTATTAAGTAGTTCTGCAGTAGATCATTGTGAAATGACCAGCATAACCAATATAGTCTGACTCCCAAACAACTTTCAGTCTGTAATTTCATTTTGAAGACTTTATAAAAACTCAAATGTACTGCCTGTAGGTTTTCTAGATTTTAACCAAACACTTTAACCATTTAGACATTGCTATCACACAAAAATAGTTTAGTCGAAGTTTGCTACTATACATATCCAAATATGCTGGTAGGAAAGGACCCCATTTGAGTTTGTGATTGAAGTCTAATTCATGCTGGGCGGATCAAAGAACAGCAGCTGGTGCTTTGCTGCTCAGCTGCCAGTGAAACGGTTAGAATCCATGAGAGACTGCTTTCAAGTCAGCTGTCACCAAACACTTGTCTCCAAAGGGGTCATTCAAGGGCATCAAAGTTCTGGATGATCAAGGAAAACACTGGGTTAAGCCAAATGAAGATGCACTTCCAAATGAGAGAAGATCAAAATAGGTTATTATGGCTAGAATGAGTAAAACGTTAGAATTAGTGGTCATAATCATTGTCTTAGTAGCAGCAGCACATGAAGCTATTCGTAAGTTTTATGTATACTGCTTATACCTTTTGCTTTTTACTAATGGTAGTTAAACATAGGGAAGCTTGACTTTACCTTGCTAAATTAATTTAGCTGACTTGCTAATTCACTTTGCGCAAAGCTAAACCACCTGTTCCAGCTCCTAACTGATGTTGCTAATGAAGTCTGAATGATCATGTCTCAATAGAATAATTGAAAAAAATGGTTCTGTATGCAAATGACATCTGATTATATCTCTTTGTCAAACGCTAATGCAATCTAACCACCAACAATGGAAAATTTTAGCTTCTGCCAAAAACGCTTGGCAGCGTTCAAGAATAACAGGTCAAAGGAAAATAAATTGTTACTGGTTACTTAAAGTTGTAAAGACTATCCGGCGAGCCTTATAAATATGTTTGCTTGTTTATTCAAAGACATACCAACCCTGAAAGAAGAGGAGAAAGATGAAAAGGATGAAAGCGTAGAGGAAGTGGAAACTGCCGAAAAAGCACCAAAACCAGAACCGATCCCTAAAGGTACAGTAGCAAACATAGCAACAGTTTACTTGCATGAAGCATAGAAAATGAACCAGAATTAAAATGAGAAAATTATGCCAACACTTATGAGCTCCAAGGTTATTGACTGTGGAGGAGTGGTGTTCAACAACAAGCCTGATGGTAGTGGATGCAGGAGAAGAAGGCGTGTGTGTGTGTGTGTGTGTGTGTGGGTGTGTGTGTGTGTGTGTGGCTGTGGATGTGAGGGTTGAGCAGACCCTTTGGCCTCAAACTTTGATCTCCATTAAAGTGACCATTTATTTAACTTTATTTATTGAACTGAATATTTAAGATTTTTTATATATTATAGTTTATTTTTTTTATTTTTTTTTTCATTATTTATTAAAAATACATATTTTCAATTATCTATTTAAAATAATTATTTTAATGGTTAATTTGAATTAATATATAATTAATCAATAATAAATCTGAATATATATATACTTTACTGGGAATCACCTCAGCAAGGGAAAGGGGGGAAAAGTTGTGATCTAGCTGAACACCACAAAATCATTAATAATGCAAAAAAGGTATAACCTCGGCCATGTTAAAATTAACATTAAATAAAAGCACAAAAAGCAGAAGGATCTCGATAATATGATTTCCTCCTGTGAGATGTTTTCCTCCCTTTCCAATTATTCTTGTTATTTGATTTATCAATATGGTGTTGAACTAGAATTTTACTGAATTGCTCCTGAGGGCAAAGGATCCTACTGGGTATCAGATTAAAATCTGGAGAGGAGATTGGGGATAAAGCCATGTGTGTATTGCAAGATGGAAATCTAATCACGCTCTGAGACAGTGTATGACATGAGCTCAGATGAGTTCAGAGGACTGACTACTGCTGCTTCTGTCTGGGAACAGCAGAATGAGATGTGCTTGTGCCTGCAGAGACAACACTGGAACACAGTGACATATACACGGTGCCACAGGAATACATAGAGAACTGATACTTATACAGAGAGGTTTATTTGGCAAAGGAGAAAAGCTCATTATACTGTCCATTCAAGAGCACCTTTAGAAACCATAGCAAGTTTTAGCTGATAAACTTTTAGACAAGGTGCCATTCAAACTTTACTTTTCTAGTTAAATTTGTTGAGAGTCTGTTTTTCACCTACAGTGATTTTGCAGCAACATATTGATCTCCTGCTGTTTGTGCAATGAGCAGATTGATACAAATGTATGTAAAGTTTGTGGGCATTTATGCACACTGAATTTAATATGCTCATGCATATCCTAAATTGACCGCTGCCTTTATGAAGTGAAATGTAATCAGTTTATTTTTAGCCATGCTTTCATTCAATTTCCACAAACACATCCCTGATCACAGGTGCTGGCATAAAGCATTTTTTTCTTTTCTTTTCTTTTCTTTTCTTTTATTTATTTATTTTATTTATTTTTATTTTTTTTACAAAAAAGTGGATAATTTAGTATTATTCAATAAATAAATATGATAATAAATACATTGCACTGTGTATGCTTGCTTTGGCCCTATCATAATAATCTTTTTTTTATTATTTAATTAAATTGTAGTGTATTTTATTTAATTTTTTTATTACAGTTTATTCTTTTATTTTATTAACAAAATGTGTAGAAGTGTGCAGTGTGTGTGAGTGCTTTAACAGTGTGTGCTTGCTTTTTACAGTGTGTGTGCTATCATATCTATATATGTGTGTGTGTGTGTGTGTGCACGCGCGCGTGCGCGTGTGTGTGTGT